GCCGTAGATCCTCTCCCCAGCTAGACACCCTCTCTCAGGTCTGAGGCTCCCTCCTACGGCTGATCCTCAATCCATTCTCGAGAGCCCTTTGCCTGAATAACAGCAGTGATTGCCGGGGAGGGCTCTCTCCCATCCTACGCTTGCTAGGGTTTCCCCACATGTGGGCTTCAGGATAACAACACAGCCGAGTCTGATGCCACATCATTATCTGGTGCCTTTGTCGCCTGGAATCATGATGCTGTTTGGAGGCTGCTAATGATAATGCCTTTTGCCAACGGGGCACACAGGGGTGATATTGTGTTGTAGAGATGTTCTAGCTAATTTAGCCATCTGCCCATCTGTTTTGTACTTGCTCCCTTGGTATTATGGCCGCCAGGACAAAAATTCTTCCAAAATTTGGAGAACCTCCCGTTTTCAGTGCCCAGCGTGTGTCTCTGGTTTTCAGAGTCAGACACTGCAGTTCTCACAAACTTCAACCAGAGGCAGAGATGGAAAACAGGCCTTTGTGTATCTCTAGGCCCAAAAGCTGGAAGCCCCAAAATTGAATAGACACCTTGGAGAGTGGCATGGGGAGGGTGTCATGTCCTGGGGGGGTCACTCTGGAGTTGCATCATGCTGGTGTTGAGTTGGGTCGACTTCCATGATCTCATGTCAGGTGGGGCTTGGCAAACATCTCAGCTTTCAGTGCTGCCCTATGGAGATGTAGGTGATGTGTTGTGACATCATAATGAGGGGTTCTTATTGGCATTGTGATGCAGTGGTGCTGTGTTATGGTGTCATGCTATGAACATCACCACAGCTACCTCTGACTACCCGCAGAAGAGAAAGCTGAAACGGGGTTGTCATGACAAGGATCCTACTTTTGGCCTTTCACTTAAGGATCTAATAGCCCTTTAGAGAAAGAGGAGAATATTATCAGCCTCCTTTTACAAGCGGTGAAACGGAAGTGAGACAGGCTAAGGGACTTAGCCAAGTTCACCCCTGGAGTTTATCTCAGAACTGGGAACAGATGGATGTTGGACCTGCTAGAGCCAATGTTACCTGCGTGGAGTAGAGGGATAATTCCCCTCTCCTTTCTCTCATCTGTCCGTTTCTCATTGCAGATTCCCAGCTGGCCGAGTGCCGGGCCCCACCCGAAGTGGAGGGCGCCCCTTTGTTCTCGCTCACAGAGGAGAGTTTCAAGGCCTGCCACTTGACCTTGACTTTGGACGATTACCTCTTCATTGCCTTTGTGGGATTCGTGGTCTCCATTGCCTCCGTGGCCACCAACTTCCTGCTGGGAATCACCGCCAACTGCTGTCACCGCTGGAGCAAGGCCAGCGAGGACGAGGAGATATAGACGCCCGGCCCTGGCCACAGTGCCCCTCCCCCCAGTGATGGGGGAGACGGCCTCAAGAGCCGGGGTTGCCTGGCTGGGGGTGGCTATCTGTGCTCCACCACAATTCGTGCCCTTTCCTCCTAGCAACAGCCCCGGGGTGGTCACAAGCTGCTCCCTTTTCCCATTCCTGGCTCCCAGCCCCTGCGCCCCCCCCCAGCCACTGTGCCCAGCAGGGCGAGGCCTGTGAGGCAAGATCTAGCCGTGCCTTGTACTAGCCCCTGGCAGCACTGGAGACAGCCAATGAGCCAAGACCTGCCACGTTCACGACACGGATGGGCTGCCACCACCCATGTCGGTCGCCCGTTCTCACCATGTGCTGCACACTCACACGCGACACCCACCCTTCACACATGCTCCCGCCTCCATGCTAGCTCTTGCACCACATCTGCCAACGAGCCTAAAATGAGAAGCCAGGGGAGAGGGGAATATATATGTCAGGCGTCAAGCGGATTGACAGCAGCCGTGTCTGGTTCTCTTTGTGGCCCTGGGCACTGTGGTAGCCATGGTTGTGATGCGATGAAGAATCCTGAGACATGGTATCTCTGAGGGCCAGAGGCAGGTTTGACTCCGAGGAACGGCCCCACCATAAACATACCATAGTGTGCGTGGAGGAGTAACCAGAGCCCAGGTCTTGCTGTCTTCTGACTGGTCCTTGGCTGGATGGCCGGTGGTGCTGAGGGAGATCCGTCCATGCGTGGTTCTCTAGAGGCAGAGTCGAGACGCTAACAGGGTCAAGGCAACTCTAGTGTTTGAACTTGGCCGGTAGCTTCAGACCCAGGCGCAGAGCAGGGGTGAGGCGCGCTGACCAGCCTGAGGGAGAAGCGGGAGATGGAGTCAGAAGGAGGCTGTGGGTTAGGCCTGAAAGTGTGCTCGGATAGCGAGGAAGGAGCAGAATTAGGATGGAGGCATGTGACACGGAGCTGTGGATAAGAGGGACTGGCGGATCTGAGGCTGGGGGAAGCCCGCACTGGACTAGCAGGGGGCTGCACGTTGAGCACAAGGAGCATTGCCAGACCTGAGGATGAAGGAGAAGCCCAGGAGTGGAATAGAGGAGGGAAGGGAATTGGTGGAGCTGCGGGGGAAACCCACCAGCACTGCAGTAGCAGGCAGGGTGTGGCTGGCATTGAGGGGTGTCAGCAGGGCAGGGGGGAAGCTGGGATAACTTGGGGGCTGCGGCTAAGTCTGAGGGACATTGGCAGGGCCCTACTAGGATGCCGCTAGAGAGCTATTCCTGAGGGGAGGATGACGGTGCAGTCTCAGAGCTGAAACAGCAGGTGGGGCTGCCGGTCAGGCTATCAAGTGCTATGACAGAGCGAGGGCACCCGAAAGGGGCTACTCCCTACTGGTGCTACCCGCATTTGGCTGAGCTCTAGCGGGAGCGCTCTATTTCTCCTCATGGCAGCCCTTAACACTGCAGCTTGAAAAACAAACACGTGCTTTCAAAAAGAAAGGGAAGAGACTTTCCAGCAACTGCTCTGCGTAGCCCGTCTGCCTCCACATGCCTGGAGCATCCGGCATCAGCTCCCCACCCGTAGGTAAGTGGTTATTCGCCTCGCCTTACAGCAGGGGAAACTGAGTCACTGAGCGATTGCCATGATGCTCTTGTGGCCACGTGGCCGTAGCCGGGGATAAAATCCACGACACTCGGCTTCTACCATGCTAAACTTTGCACACACTGCCCTGAAGGAAAACCACTCCCCAATGACTTATCTAAGAACTGGATCAACATGACCAAGAGCATCTGGAGACAATGGCTCATTTTTGGAACTGGCGCCCTTCGACGTCAGCTGCCGCTGGAGACGTTGGATATAACTTTGGGGGCCAGAGAGGCAGGTGCAACTCTGAGGATCAGCCCCACCACAGTGTGGATGGAGGAGAAACCAGAGCATGAAGGATGGGGGAGGACTCAAATGTGCCACTTGCCCCAGCAGAAGAAAGACTTTTGCAGGCGCTAACCATCTCTTAGAGAACTCTGTGTGCTACAATGTATAGCTAATGTATTTTGAGACTTGTATATTTTTTATTTTTGCATAGAACTAGGACCAAACCAGATGCCAAATGCCACCAGAGCTTTCTAGATTATGTCCTTCAGTCTCGCCTACGCCGGAAAGTTAGGAGGTAAAAAATCTGTCCTTGTAGGATCCCGACAGGGCTAAGAAATGAAATGCCTTTAATCCCAAGGTAGATTTACATTCTGTTCTCGTTCGCACATATACCAGGAGCCCTTGCGGGTTCCGTCGTCTAGTTGTCAAAACCCTGAAAGAGCACATAGGTAATGTAGCAGTTGCCTGATCAGAATCAGTGGCCATCCCCTAGCCTTAAGCCCCCTTGGTGGATTTCCTACACGTCTTAAAAACAGGCATTTCTACTCTGGAAAATGAGTGTCCACCTGCCGCCGTCTGAGTCTGCGGCTCTGTCCCTTCTGTGCATCCAGTCAGCCAACTTTAGCAGCTCCAATAAGTGTTGGCTGTTTATTTTATGCTTGTCAGCACGGCAAACTCAGTCCAAGAGAGATTCCACTCCACAAGTAAATGGTGCATTGACTTTGACAATGTGGACACCCCTGGGAACTCCGGTTCCTGTCCTGCCAGCTTGCTTAGCCACCCCCATTATAGCAAACTCCTCAAGCTCAAGTTGGCTGAACTACCATCAGGAGGACAGAGCTCCACATGGAGCAGGCGTTGCTTACACGTCTCTCTGTTTAGATACGTATCGGCCCCCTATTTTGTAGTACCTGAGCACCTCAGAGTCTCGAACGTACTTCCCGCATCCCTGTGAGGCTAAGTGCTGTGAGTGAGAATCTAAGGCACCAGGAGCTTACGTGATTTGCCGAACCTCAGAGAAGGACTGACTGACCGAGGAAGGAATGGGACCCATGGGTAGTAGAACCCTGGATGGCAGCGGGGGCAGCAGAGAAGTCGCTGAGGGCCTACTAAGGTCCACAGGATCTTCCCCACTTCCCAGAGAGGGGAAGAAGCCAATCCACATGGCTTCCGAGAGAAGGGGAGGGCCTCCTCGTGAAACTAGCAAAGTTCCAGGAGAAGAGGGAATGGGTCCCAAGGAAACAGAAGCCAACCAGTCATGCAGGACAGATGCATGGATGAGAGGGGGCTGAGATGGACAATGAAAGAGACCCAGAGCAGGACAAGGAGCAGAGAACCCTGGAGCACGCCCATTGATCCAAGCTGAAATTGAAGGGTGCAGTGGATGAGCGAGGGCAAGGAAAATGAACTCCCTCCCCAACTTGACACTTAGATCTTGGAGGAGTTGAGCTGGCAGTGGGAAGCCCTTACAGACGGAGTACATGCGACACAGCCTCACCTTGAGAGGATAAATATGGACCTTCCCTGTCCACCCATCCAGCAGTTTGCACACGGACACTTTCCAGAGTAGACCTGCACCTTGAATTTAATTTCTTTCCCGTGTGTTCAGTGCATGTAGATACAGGACGTGTGTGTGTGTGTGTGTGTATGTGTGTGCACGCACGTGCGTGTGCATGTGTGGTTTAACACATGCCAAGCTCAGAGAATCAGCCCCCATCCTTCATGTGCCTATTGCTGTTAGCCCTTCCCACTGTGGCTGAGGGCTCCTCTAGTCCAAATCCAGAATCAGAGGAGCCAGATTGCAAGGGAGATTTCTTTCATGCCTCTTCAACTCTGGATGGGCCTACACCCCAGTGTCCGGAGGGGGCTTTGAGATCTTTTTCACATGACAACACAAGAAAGTCAAGACCCTCCCCACTGAGGCAAGTGCTGGCATATCCTAAGGACATGCTTTTTACTTTTAACAACCCCTTTGCATCCAAAAACCAGCCTCTGTTTCAAAAAGAAACTGTCGTTATTTTTAATCTGTTAATGTCTTAGTAACTATTATTGTCATTCATATGTTTACTTTTTCTTGCTTCCCCTAATTTTTCAGTAAAACATTGTCATTTTTAATCGGTTAATTTCTTATTATTCACTATGATTGTCATTAATGCGGTTTTTTCCCCCCTCTTCCTCTTTCCCCCCAATTTTTCAGTGGCAAACATCAAAAAAAGGGGAGGGAAAGAAAAGACACCTTAAACCTCACACAGTGAAGACATGAAAATTTTCAAACCTCAACATTTTCCATTATTTCCAAAGAAACTCAATAATAGACATTTAAGTTTTTTCTTCTTTTATCCCTTTTGCTTCTTTTTTTTTTTTTCAGTGGGAAAAGGAGATAAAAACAAATGGAAAATGTTGGGGTATTTTTTAAGGAGACGAAAGAAATTAAAACTGAAAACATTTCTCCGAAACAAACATTATCTACAAAAATGTATGTGATTTATTTCAAAAATTTTGCATTTTCCTAAAAAAACCCAATAGTTGAACATCTGTTTTGGTCCCCCCCCCCTTTCTTGCTCCTCTTTTCCCTCCCATCTTTTTGTCAGTGGGAAAAGAGCAAAAAAAAGCAGGCAACGTGAGGGAAGAGAGTGAAAAGAAAGGAATAAAACCAAAGGATTTTCAAAACCAAACATTTTAGATGAAAAAAAATATTACCCAAAAATGGAATGAAAATGAAAATGAAATTTTTGAATTCCCCCTCCAAAAAACGTCCATCATTTTCCTCCAGTTGTACTTAGAGGGAACCCCTAGCCAGGTCTACTCTATGATATTTTAGAGTAGACTAAACTAGAAGGACAGCGGGGGGAGGAATCCCAACTTGAGCCACACCTGCAAATTCCTCCGCCCCATTCCTGTGTCATCTCAGCAAAAGAGAGCATTTGCCAGTTTAGTTTATGGCATCCAGGGAGGTGGTGCTGATCTATCGGAACAACTCCTTTTGCCAGGATGGAGTAGCTATACTGTACACGACCACTGTACTGTAGACTAGTTCAGTCTCCTCCAGCCGACTTTCACTGAGCCTCTGGTTGTGATGCCTACAAGGGACCAGCAAAGCAAACCCTCAGAGCTGGGCTATCCCGCTGCTGTTCCAACGGACACAAGGGGGACGTTATGGACAGAGCTGGAGAAATGAGGCCTTTGGGCAAACGTCACCTCCCCGACCCTGCGTGAGCTGGACTGGAGGGGTCGGCTTAGCTGGCCTTTCCTTTCCTTGTATTCATCTCTCTGCCAGCAGCTGTCCTGTGTC